GAGAAATACATAAGTATGTTTATCAGCAATTTGATTACCGTAACACAGGCACTGCCTAATTCCCAGGGGGGATTGCCAGCCACAACCCAATTCAGTATTACAGACTATTCCAAATCTTTAATAAAATTGAGAAAATGGCCAGAAAATTATGATGAAAAAACTTCAGAATCAACACAGGTATATAATAATTCTATTCGCCATATGGCATAAAAATATTCCAATTACAAAAATAATAACACGCCAAATCAATTTGTCACTCGATTAAAGTCAAAAGACGTCATACGAACGTTGAATAATTAAATTACGAACAATCCAATGTTGCAAACAGCGGGACCGGAATTGAATAATATTTAAACGGAGTGCTCGGCTGTTTTCGGAGGCTCTCGGGGGCGTTCGGAGCCAATCGGGCCGCGCAAATCTGACATCTGTCATATTTGAACCGCATTGTTAGTGTTGTGACGTTCGTTTTTTGAAACTCGACAGTTGGTGGCCCTCCTCTTCTTTTTATTATTTCTTTTTGTTACGATTTGATTGAATCTGTCGTATTGTAAAACAATGTGTTTGTTTTGTGTGTTCATTTTCTTGGTATTTATTTTGACATTGACGTGTATTCGCCATGATTGTCATTTGTGGACTTTTTGGGGTATTGTATAAATTGCGATGTTTATAATTTGGTTTCAGATTTGGTGACGATTATAAAGAGGGTGATTAAGAAGACGCTCGGATGGCTTAGTGGTTTAAGCGGTCGTCACACCGCTTACTACTATGCTGAGTGTTGTGGGTTCGATTCCCGCATGGGACGACACTTTGTGTGATTCACATATTGTTGTTCTGAGTCTGAGTGTTCTTTGTGTCCGTTTCATGTATGTTTGTTAAGTCCAACATAGAATATATTTCTAGTCTAGGGAGTAGTCCCGTATTTTAAAAAGAAAAAAAGAAGACGCATATTATTTTATAATAGTTTTCCTTTAATATAAGATTTGGAATAGTTCACACATAGAAAAATCACCAGGTATCAAGTTACACGCGTCCAGTATGTATTGTACCTGTTATAAAACATTAAGCAAACCATTACAAAACTTAAATAATTATTGTTAGAATCTGATCACTAGGATGTTTTTAGTACTATCTCTATCTTAAACGATCAGTACGACAGAAGTGGTAAAAGTTATTCAAAAACTAACCTTATGTAATCTCTTATACATTTGTAATTTGGATAAATTCTAACAATATTTTTCAATTACATTATCAGTAAGCTGTAAGTACCTATGCTTCTAGTTTAGGAGCGAAAAAAACCAAAGACAAGACGGCAAACTGCAATTTTTGCGATAAACTTGACTATAATTAGTCAAAGTTAAGCGAAACTTAAATAATATTTCGAAGAAATTGTCAAACAGCTTTGTATTCGACGACCAATTTTCGTTCAAAGAGTTCTTAATTCAATTTCTTTGTACTAAAGTGTAAGTCACACGAAACAAACGAACTTTGAACAGAAAACAAGCGACAATCGCGCTGGTATAATTTTTATGACGCTGCATTATGTGGGGTAACCAAACTCTAGGTCATAACGAGACATTATAATTATAGTAATATTTTTCAGTGTGTTTTGTGACTGATTAGAAACGGCAGTAACTGTTTGACTTTTGCCTCTGGTTATCAAGAGTTTCAGGTTAAAGAGATACTCACTGATCTGGAGGCTATTTAGAACAGATATCAGTTTCTCAGGAATTCACTTTCTAGACATTATAATACCCACATAAAGATTCTTATTCCGTAAATATCATGTGTATGAGAGAGAAAATAATAAAATAATTTGATTTACTAACAAAGTAATAAAATCTTTAAGATAATGATTAAACAACATACAATACAATACCTTTTTGTTTATTCGAAAGTACGATCGAATTTCCTAGAGCGTGGACACAAACGATCCGATGGGAGTTTAGCGACACGTCCGTCACGAGTTTCAGCACATTGTTTTTGTTTATTTTATTTTTATACTGAAGATAACGTGATTAATTCCCAATTTAGGTAAACTAATTTTAAATAATATATGTGTAATTGCAAAATTATAAAGACAACGATTGGAAGGCCACAGGGAATTCTAGTGTTGGGTCCAGTGACATATCATCACATCACATCAACAGCCTTTGATAGCCCACTGCTGGACATAGGCCTTTCCTAAGAAAGGAGATTTTGGGCTACTATACCACGCTGCCCAGATCGGTTGGTATAGAGTTTGTGACAAGTTTTTCTTCTACATATATGTAGTGCTCTTGTCTTGCGTAGATTGCTCTCTTAGTCAGCTCTTACATAAACAGGGGTGATGACTCTCCGTATTTTTAATCCGTCACCACACTGACACAAATCTTGCAATAAATGTCACTTTAAGTATCTTCTTATTTATGTTGTGTATCTAAATCTATGTAAAATATTTTTTTGACAATAAAAAATATTTTAAAAAGACTAATGTAAATAATTATTGTCAGCAATGTTCTTGACTCATGGTGACTGTAGCAGGTGACATCGGGTGTTCGGTCAAGGTTTGCGTGTTCAACAATCACTTGCTCAAAATTACATGTTTTATTATTTCAAATGTAGTTCTCGTTTTACTTAATTAACAGTACAATAACAATTGAGGTTTTACAACCAGCTGTTAGCGTTTTATTTCCCAATTCCAAAGCGCTTTTATTAGTTATACCGTTAACATTTACCAAAATAGAAACTACTTAGAAATAATTATGATTTTTAGCCGACTTATAAAACGAGGTATTTTTTGTATTACGACGCGGTATTTTTTTTGATACGAGGACGATAATTATATAAGATGAGTTGCGTATTATTTTCAGTATTTTTTATAATAAAGGTACGTTAAGGTTTTTTTTAATCTATGTCTCGAAAGAATTGCATCCGTCGTGGTCACAGTTTAAGTGATAGTTACAACAGTCAATGTAATTTGACATATGTATTACAAGGGTATGTCTAATGCCTTTCATTTTCTAAAAAGGCATTTTAAGCAGCAGCTTTTAATACCTATGCATATTTATTCTTAGCACAGACCTCCTCTCAATTTTTAAGTAGATATAAAAAATCATTACTAGGTTTCTCATCAACAACTTTGTTCACTGTTGGACATGGACCTCCCCTTAGAAAAGAGGTTTCGGCCGACTATATCGTTTTCCTTTCGCCTTGCAGTGTTCTTGTCCTGCGTAGTTTGCTACCTTAGTCGGCTCTTACGACACTAGATGATTTCAATAGTTTAGTGTAGTCTATTCTCCGTTCTGAATAGTGACGAAATGATTGAGTGAAATGTAACAAGCGCATTGTCAAGAAAACGAAGTCCAAAGATATCTCATTAAAGTGATAGATAGATAATTAGAGATAGATAAAAATACACACACAGATTAAAATCATAACCCTGCTGGCTCCGTAACCGGATAAAAAGACGTTATACCAAACACGACGTCTAATTTGTCAGAACGTCTATTATAATCAATACAAATATAAAAACTAGTATTGATATTAGAACACTCGGTGAGCCCCACAGCTGGTACGGGCCGACACCATACTTCAACGTAGGTCACCTACACATGATATATTAATTCGATAAGTTTTATTGAACATACGACTGAGGCACGATAGTGTGCGGTCCACAATAAAGCTGTCTAGTATTCAAATACTTATTCGATTTTTGAAATTTAAATTTTCTTTTTTTTTCAATATTTTACAGACTCCTTTGTGGTAAGCAGTATTTTTGCCGTTCATCTAGAGAAAGTCAAAGGAAGTTAATCATTAATAATTTTAATCATAACAAATTTTGTGTTGAAAATAATGTTTGTATGTTTAAAAATCTTTAAATGTACTAAATATTTGCCAACTCTTAACTACATTTTTACCTTATTCTGCTGCCAAGTCTTTGTTGACTGACTTGAACATGACTCTAACTTGCTGTGAAGTATACCGTAAGTGTCGTGGTAAAATTAGTTCTAAAAAAATACCAGTCATATTCAAACATCACCAACCCTAACTTGAACTATCTAATTTCCATTAAGTAGCGTTGCAAAAACATCTTTAACATACAATAATTAAGTATAAATCTATTTAATTTGATAAATCATTGTCGTGTTTAAGCACATTCAAAACTTCCATCATAATTTACACAGTGTTAAAGCAGTTACCGTAAAAATTATAGCGTTTAAAGAAAATTCGTTTATCGACATAAAAGCCATTATTAGAGCATCAAACCTTTACGATATACAATAAAAAGCCCCAAAAAGGTTCGCTGATACGATAAATCAGAGAGGGAACACGTCACTTCTAAACAGTTTGCGGAGCCAGACATAACAGAACTAACTTTGAATACGGCAAACCATGAAACACGAACTCAATCACACAAATGGTGTACTATCATTGTGCCATCCACCCTAAGAGACATAATATACTCCAGCAAACATAACTTCTATCACAATAATAATAAAGTATATTTTAGATTAAAAAAGCTTTAGATGTGAAGCATAAACGTGGTGTCAAATTGTAGTGTGAAATGATATATTCAGTTGGGGAGTTGAACGGTGAAAATACGTGCGGTTCGCGTGACCGTTTCGATTTCGGTTCAGGAGACAGCAGGTTACAGGCATGCAACGTTTGATGGGTTACCTGTCATAAGTATTAAATTTGTTGAACAGTGAAATATCAGAAAACATTATACCGACATTATACTACTATCGTTGGCAGCTCTACTAACTCGTTATCGCCTTATATTGGCCGATACTTTGGCATTACCTGTGACAGACCCCTAGTTCGCTTTTTCTAGTTAGTTAATTCGATTATCCTATTCAAATTATTCGCATTTTTCATACGAATACGGTGTATATAATGCTGTAGATACACCAAATAAACAAATATTGATTCTAATATGAGTAAGGCTCACGAAATGTTTTTGCGTCGAGCAAGCTAAGGTCTTACAATTTTTAAAAAGGCTGCACGGGTTCTCAATAGATATGTGTGATGTTACAGCCAAGAACTATGTCAGTAAAATTAACTTCAACTTCTCGCGTACTAAAACCTTGTGAAGAAACGGGTATTGTGTTCCTCGAACACGAACGAGGGCACTTTCGACTAGGCAAGGTCTGGTCATGACTGGTGGGCAATGCCCAACGTTTGATGTTGGAAAGTTCTATAATATATAAGTGCGAAAACTGCCATTCATGTGTCATCAGTCATGCAGGACTTATAGTTACTGGATGGTTCAGTATGTCTTCGATAGATTCTTATGGTGAATTAAAGTATGTTTTTCGTTCTTAACGCAGGACTAGTTGTCATAGGTTCAGAAATATGAAATGGACACTGTTCTCACTTCCACAAAGCGTCGTAATTAAAAACACTACAATTACAAAACATAATTATTATGAATATGAAGCCAACAATCTCAACTTTTTTGTCAACAAATGTCTAACAATAATATTTTATCTTACAGGTTTGGTTCCAAAACCGCCGCGCAAAATGGCGTCGTCAAGAAAAGATGGAAGCAGCCCGATTGGGTCTCTCCGAATACGGCTGTGGTGCTGCTGGGGCTCTACCCAGGCTTGGCGGTCTGGGACTTCCTGTAGACCCTTGGCTTGCGCCTCCACTACTTACAGCGCTGCCAGGTTGGTACTAGTAATTTAATATTAAGCCTTTACAATCTAGGAAAAGACAAAAAGATGAAAGCGAGGATTAGGAGGTGAAAGCATCTTATACTCGTACACAGGCAAAAGAAAAAAAGAATTTATAAAGGTTGTGACAAAAAACGAGCAGGACGGAAAGGCGATGCGGCGTGAGCATGTTGTAATATTACTACTAGTTAATACAGAGAAACTCACATGCAGCCGTGGAGCTCGGCACTCAGCCACAGTTGCTGTTGCCGCGACGCTTTAGCCGTTGTCGGCCCCAACCTTAAAATTGATGGTAAAAGCTACTTTCTGCCTGCTGATTTCAAAGATTTGTGTTAATTTTGCTATTAGTATTTATTATTGTGATAATTAAACAATAGCTTCTAAGAAAATTAATAAATAATTTCATAAATATCTTTGACTTTTTGATTACATCGAGTTAAGCAGAAGCTTTCGTACAGATTAACATTCCTGATTCCTTTTTCATATCATATTTCTTTAACTAAGCCTATGACAGTATGTGCCAATTGACTTATGTAGTAGCTGCTGTCAACTATGCTATAACATGCCAGTTCAATGAGATATTTTTTCCACAGGTTTCCTAAGTCACCCTCCATCAGGTTACCCAAGTTACCTAACACCACCGGCTCCGGCATCAAGTGGTGCCCCACCAGATCCCCGTTCTTCATCCATAGCGGCCCTACGTATGAAGGCGAAGGAACACGTTGAGAGCCTCAATAAAGGACTACAAATGGTCTAATATATTAAGTTCGACTAAAATGGCAATAACATTCCAATTGAAGTATTAAAACATATTTTTAAGTAAAAATTTAAGAGTCAACTGAAATATTTGACTTACCATAATGTATGTTATTTTACTGGGTGTCTAAAGTAAGGCTAAGAGTGTGTACGGTGCAATCAGACGCCACTTAAAAATCTAAATTTTAAAGTTGTCTCAAAATTAACAAATTTTTCAAACTTATACCTAAAAATACATATTAAAATGTATTTATGAAATAGATTTCATGATGGTTTTTATGCCATTTGTTTTCTAGAAGGAGAAAATACTTTAGTAAATAGCTTAAATTATTTCTTCTCTCAGTTTTTTCTTAGGATCTTCTGAATTGAACTGATTTGGAAAATCTCAAAAGATAAATATAAGGAACATGTTTTGTAAAAGTAATGCTTAGGATTTGCATAACTTATTATGTGATCTTTATGTGTTTTCCTATACATTAATCAAAAATTTATTTCTCTCTTACCTATTACAAACCTGATGTGATTAGTGTATCGAAGCAATACGTAAGTGTAAATATGGATTTTTGAGAATTATATTTGTAAGAAAATAAGTACATAGAATCTGTCACTTTTCCTATTTCATTAGATATAATATGTTTCATACCTTATTGCAATTCAACTTTTGAATTATATTTAGTATTTTAAATTTAATTGTCAGTATTAAAGAATTTTTGGTTACTCTCATTCAAATCGTACATCACATCAACAGCTTTTAATAGTCCAATGCTGGACATAAGCCTCTCCTTAGAAAGGGGGTTTGAAACCCCTAATCGTAAGAGTAGGTACAATTATATTTTCAACTATATGCTTAAAACTGTTCCAAGTTATAACTGAAGTATTAGCAGAATTTCTAGTAGCTTTAAGACTGCCTTCAAAATTTCGCTCAATTCTGGATCATCATTATAAATTTCAAATTGTCTTTTTTTCAGTCCTTTTGTATGGACGTCACTATACGAGTAAGTATAAAACAAATAAATAAACTTATTGTAATCATAGATTTTGCTATGAATTGATACTCGATTGTAAATATTGTACTTAAATTGTAAAGCATCCACTTATATGTTTAAGAATGTAGCTGTTTTTTACTAAGTTGCATTTATAAAAATATATTGCTCAGTCTTATGGAATCCAACTTGTTTATAGCTACAGCATCTTTATATGAAGAAAATAGAATAGCTTAAACATTTATTATTATCTAAATTATATATTGTAAAATTTATTTCAAGAATATACCTAACACGAAATACGAGACCAAGATGGTCACGTCTTTTGACGTCGTCACGTCTTGAAAAACCTGATAACACAATTTTGTCTTTTTATCTTGTTTATTACCTATATAAAGTTGAAGAAATATACACATTAAATTAACAAACAGTTTACATTTGTGAGTCTGTTTTAACTGTAAGATCGATTTAAGGTTTGTAAATAAAAGAAATAATATTCTTAGCTGTAGCTTATTTTCTTTCGAATAGAGAATGTGTTTATTTGTAATGATTTAAAAGACGTGATATTATTAGAGCGTGTTAGTAATGAGGAACTACAAGGGCATAAGATATGTGACATGTATTAATTGGAAATACAAATATCACGCGTCATGGGGTTATATTATGGCGAATATCTAGTAAAACGCAATCTACGAGTATGAAATATCAGCCAAGTTTAGCGATAGGAAGTTTGAATAAAACGTATGTACGTACGTAAATTTTTGCCTTTTTTTTACTATAGAAATCTTAGATTTCAGTACAAAAAAAAGATGATCACGTTTAAATTTAAAAAAAGAAAACATTATTTAAGTCAAAATTAGAATTTGCTAGGCCAATTTTAAAAGAAAACATCGAAATTTTAATAAATCGATTTTTTTAGAACTTTCAGCATTGATACATCGAGATTCTTTTAGTTGGTTATCTGTGTCCTGTCATCTTGACATTTAATCAGATTGGTATGAGCTAATTATGAGGTAATTCTATATCCTTTCTTCCACAACTTTTCTGGCTTCTTAAATCCATATCCTGGAAAAATAAATTTCTATTATATAGAGTTTAAATCTTTATATCTCATGCTTTTGTAGTTTCACCTTCGTAGAAGTGATTTAATAGTATTGTAAATAACTATGTGTAGGTATTTATATGTTTGTATATATGTGAGTGGTAGTGTAGACTAAGAGATATATTATACATACTGAGAGATTAATAAATGTGTTCTTTCCTAATCTGCTTTTTATTTTATTTCCTTTATACATTTCTGTCTTCTCTCTTCAGGAAAACAAGACACAAACCATAAACCAACCCGTCTGGCCAGCGTGGTATAGTAAGCCAAACCTTCTTTCTAAGGAGATGCTTATGTCCAGCAGTGGATTATAAAAGGCTGTTGATGATATATTTATCTCACTTCTCGTATGAGAACCAAGATTCGGCACATGTGGGCCAGGCTCGACCGCAGTATACCATGGCCGCATAGAAAACCAGTATTACACTGTTCATACATTGCTTTTCATGGTATGAGTGAGATTATCGGAGCGCAAACCCGCCGCCTTATCCGGGGGTGGGGGAGAGGCTGAAAGAGCGGCACTCACTTGTCAGTCTTGATTTTCAGGTGTCCATTGGCGTAGATACCCACCTGGTGAGCCGTCTGCGCATTTGTCCCCTCCCCTCCATACCATAAAACAAGAAAATCCGATTAAAAAAAAAGTTGAACCGACTTCAAACAATACTAACAAAGAGCACTAAAAACCTAGCAGCAATCGCGGTTGATTGGCAGTCATTTTATGAGGAGTTCCTTTGTCTGTCTCCAAAACCCATCATCAGATCTACATGAAATTTTAATGGGCCAATTCGGAGTAAACAAAGAAACACAAAAAAAAGACATCCCTGTGGTCTGTTTCGGCAGATGTAAAGTCCGACTTGTGAAAATATCTGAAAAGATCTACTTACAGAAATAAATATTTTTTATCATTTACTTACACCATAAAAAAAAGCTTAGGTATTGTACACCGAAACAAGTAAGATGTGTCCGGGGCAGTAATATTGAATCTTAATTTATAAGTTGCGAAAATAAACCTCTGAATATTTTACTCCCCTTCAGCAATTACGTTAATTAGTGAACTTATTAAGGCATCCCCCCCTGCGCTCCCCAGGGCCGTCCCCCTCCGTCGTCTAGCGCGTCGCTAATTGTTTTCCGATAATTTATTAACGGAGATCGACTAACCACTTGCATTTTCACGCCTTCGTAATTGAAAATAACATCACAGCTTATTGATACCCATATATTATTATATAACTGGCGTATATATCGCGACTTCTCATTCATCAATCAGTGTTAGCAGGCCCAGGCGAGGTGGGACGATCTGGACGGCTTCCGAAAAGACTGGTCCGTACTAGCACATGATAGGGAGATGATGAAGGGAGAGAAAAAGGCCTTTGCTCTGCATTGGGACAACACATGCTAAAAATAAATAAATAATAATATTAGGTACCTATGTGAAAATGCCAAAATAAATAAATTTTGCAAATTAATAAAAAAAACATAGGTATTATAATCTAAAGTCTTCCAACTAACTATTTTCTTGTCTGCAGTGAACAAGGTTTTTTAAATAAAAAAGGTAACTTAAAAAATAAATTCCCCAATAGTTACTTTTAAACCACAAGTTACATTGGTAAACGGAAATAGAATGTAAATTCGTAGGCAATTAATGGCGCGGTATGACATTCTTGTGATAAGTAGTATGATTACGAAGTTTGCTCTGATTTACGTCCTAGTGCCAACCCTGACTTCTATTAGGGTTGTCGTTATGTCAAACGTACCAAGTAATATAAATCTTTAAAATCATGTATACTATAAAGATTTGCACTGCTGTTAATAGGGTAGATTCCTGGGTTTAAAATAAATTATTTCGCCTGCATCGTTAAATGTAACATCTCAAAGTAGAACCTGAATTGTCCTCCATTATCAATTTAATGTCTTTATTGATTTGATATCTTGATATCAACATTAAATATAAATGATTTGACAATAGCTAGGTATGACGTCACGAAATAGTATTTCATACAAAAATGTACCGCGTCTAGCGTTTTGACGTTTATAAAAAAGTTACTCAATTGACTTGACAGTCATCTACCCTATTCCCACAAGCTAACGAATTACGATAAGTTGATGTTTTTTTTTATTCTACTCTAAAAATAAAAAATAAAATCTCTTCAACTCAGAAGCAACAAGACTGCACGGATGGCGTAGTGGTTTAAGCGACGACACTTTGTGTGATCCACAAATTGTTGTTCTGAGTCTGGGTGTTCTTTGTGTCCGTTTCGTATATGTTTGTAAAGTCACCCGCGACACAGAATTTAGGTATTCCTAATGCGTGAGATGTGTATAAAAAAAAGGTACATTTATTGTACGGAAAAATACCATCATTTTACAGTAAGTTATTACTAGGAGTTACATATTTTATTTTTTATTTTATGTGTTGAAACCCCCTCGAGCCTTCACCCCACCGAGGCTTGCAGCGGGGTGGTGTGTCGGAATTGCACCGACTAAAACCACACGGTGTGCCACTCTGCGCCTGTAACAGGAGAGATCCTGGAACTGCTATTATTAAGACATCCGGACCCCTCCTAGCGCCTGTCCGCAATGGCGCGGGCACTATCTTCGGTTACATTCTCCATTTAGGCGACGTCCGGCACACGCGGACGTCGTAGGTCTCCTAGGTCGGTGAATTCAAAATGGTGAGGGGGACCGGCTTCATGAGGAGTACCGAAAGGCACGGAAAACTCTGAAGCTGGCCTGACCTGACCTGTACTTGGTCGCTAGGAGGGAATTGTGTACCGCCTGTCACCGCTGCGATTGCAGTGAGGACTCGGCTCAGCACACGCTGGCAATTAGCCCTGCTTGGGCGCCGCCCAAAAAAAGGGTTTGTTTCAAGTTTTCCTTCCCCTTACAGTACTGTTGTTATGGGTAGTTTGTTAGACA